TTTCGATGTCTATAAGTGGGTTGGCCTTGAATTTGCAACTTGGTCTTGTTAGCAGAGCGACTTGGTTGGACGTACCATGTTCGAAGTCCTCTGCTACAGTAGTTCTCATAGTTACAAAGGTCATACCAAGTCCGCTTTGTTCAATGGTGGCCAGCTATAAGTCTAGTGACTTTTTTTTATACACCTAACCTTGCGATCTTTATGAAGCGTCCCATGCTTTGGTTAGCTACCTCAAACCTATTCTACATGCTTGCAGGTGAGTGAAGTTACTTCACTTCTCCTTATATCTATCCAACACGCAACAGCTAGTTCCTACTCACTTTTCAAATCTTATTTCTCCTGGCTGCTTTGTTAATTATTAAAGACTCCCTAATCTTGCGCTTTGATGTGAAGTCCCCTTAATCCTCAAGACGTTTTAAACCATTCTATTAAGTATCCCACGTTACCCATGTATTCAGCGAGCTCAAATATTTTGACCTATAAAGCTTTACAAGCGCTTTTGTGCTCGCATAGACTCTTCTGGATGGGTCAGCAGGTCTCCCTCACATAGATATTACCAGATGATCACAAAACTCCGTTGCAGTCTAATCTAGAAAAAGGTTTTGAAAATTCTCTAAACGTAGGAACCACTGAGGAATGTCTTTATTTTTTATTCATTGTTCTTATGTTCCACTTACCTAATTGATAACCCATTCTTTTCACAAGTTGACAGGAAAACAAAATCAGGAACCAAGTAGAATGGCCTATCTTTCTATTCCGTCCAAAATAGCAATCTCCCTTCATCCTGTTACTGAGATTTGAAATGTAATTGTCTTTTAATACTAATAAATAATTGCTTCGAAACAATATATGCCGCAATCTACCGATCTCCTGGTCCCTGTGGTTTATGTCTGCTACTTGCAGTCTCCTCACTAGCATTGGATAAGAAATTAATAAGGAAACCCGCGTTTTGGGCTTTCCTATACACGTCTCTACCAAACGTATTTTCTTCTATGTCTGCTTCTGATTTCTTATTTTCATGCTCTAAATCTGACGTGAGCTAATTATTCAGTCTAGGAAATGTCTCCATTATACAATAGCCTTAAATACTTTTCTATAATCCTTTATCAAGCTATGATTTTTACCTTTTTATCCCTTTCACTCCTCGTTGCTTCCACCTTAACCTTGTCCCTTTCGAAGGGGTTATTACCGCTGAGAGTCGTGCTTTGCACGACACCTTGAACATTGTGGGCTTGGTGGGCAGTATTGACAATGACTTTTGCGGCACCGATATGACGATTGGGGCCGACTCCGCTCTGCATCGGATCATAGAGGCGACTGATGCTATTACGACTACTGCACATTCTCATCAGCGTTGCTTTATTCTTGAGGTAATGGGTCGGCATTGTGGATATTTAGCTATTGTCGCTGCACTGGCAAGTGAGGCCGACTGGGTGTTCGTTCCTGAATCACCGCCATCTGATGACTGGCAGGAGCGTCTTTATCGACGTCTTATCTCAGTAAGTGTGGAGAAAGATCGATATGGAATCCTGATTCATTCCTATTTGTAAACTCTTATTTATGCGCCTTTTTCGTCTGCTCCTCTCACATAATCTAACTCAAATTTTATGAGTTATACCTTAGGACCACACATGAAACCTTTAAAAAAATGTTATGCTAAAGTGGTATATATATCAGGTGTATATATGTTCGTGATAAAGATGGATGGGAAGTAGGATAGAATGAAAAAAGGATCCAAGAACAGGACGATTGACAGCTTGCTGGAGTGATGTAGACTTTGCCTGGAATATCTACGCTGGTTATGCTTGGCTTTCCTTATGCGGAGGTCCGACTGACATGTCACATTGAAGATGTGCATGAGAATGCGACACATTTATGAGAGGCGCATATTTCACCTCCAGGTGAGTGGCTGGATCGGTTGAAAATATAATGGGGTTAGATGCCACAGGTGAGGATGAGATAAAACTAAGACTATACAGCTTATGCTTGTTTATATTGCCCTAATGTGAATGAGCTAGAAGACAAGTGGTCTATATATCATTTCAACTAGTATTGAGGAAAGCCCTCAAATAAAATGTATATTTTTCATTTATTAACAGTTCTTTGAGACTACCATAGATTTT